CGGTGCGTTCTACATAGTCTCCCTGAACACAAGACCAAGTTGCGACAACGAGGTCAACCCACTTCTAATGAAAGTTTAAGTTCTCCCTAGATATGAAAAAAAGGTTTTGAAGATTTCCTTAGTTATATACTGTGACATGACTTTTCATTTTGAAGGAAAAGTTGGTTGCAAGGAAATCGTGATGCAGTATCACCAGAACCCGAAGGAGGATTGCCGCGCACAATCCTACGCTAGTTTCTTATAACCATCTGTGCATAACTTACTATCTTCCCAAATAACCATAACATCCAAAAAAGTTAATTTTCCATTTTTTTCTTATTCCATTATGAATTTAGTATATCTTTCACGCCGCTTAATAACCCACGCAGCAATCTTCTTTCAATTTCCGGTGAAATCACATCACGAATTCCTTCCAACCAATTTTTTCTTCGAAATGGAAATTAATACCACAATATATCACTAAGCAATTCTTCGAAAGCCAATTTTTCTTCATATCCTAGTAATAATTACTCAGCTTATCTCCAACTTCTCAAATTTCATGATACATTTTCTCGTCATGCTCCTTTTTACTACGCTTTTCTAAGGGCAACGAGGGTCGAATCTACGAGTTAGTCGTACGTCACTTCCTTGCCTGCCTTTCTGCCGATGCTCGCGGGGCTGAGACGACCATCCGACTAGTTTTGGGCACAAAATCGCCATCTGCTTCAACAATTTCTCCTATATCTTTGTCTTCTCCCCACTTAATTCCGACAATCCCATCTGGACTCAACGGTAGGGAAAATTGTAACCCTGATTCAGGCGGAGAAATGTTCACAGCGCACGGTCTGGTCGTGCTTGAGGCCAATTATCTCGAAGTTTACATATACGAGAGCTGGACAGAGCGCTTTATGCCGAATTTTACTCAGTATGAGGAGGTCACTCCTACCTCGATAGAGGCAAGTTGCGCCATCCTATTTAGTCTTCTATCATAAACTTGCTTGGTACATCTGGCTTTTTTGAGTATATCTATAAACCCAATGATCAAATTAGAACTATTCTTTAGTTATATAATAGATATAACATCTTCCATTCCGCGTAATTCGTACGGATTCTTTGGAGTCTATTGGGCCTGTTATTCAGGCTTCTTGATAATAAGCCTTCATATGACTATGCTCTCCTAACGGATTGAATCTGGTTACTTTTTTACTTTCAAGGTTTGAACTCCTTAAGGCCACCTACTACCTGACCTTGAGTTACTTAAAGAATGCAAGAAAAATCGATATTCGATAGTCTATAATTTGTTTTACTGATACATACACACTAGTTTATCTACGTAATATATCTACATATGTACTCTTTATTTGAGCATCATTAACCTTTATTCAAATGATAAACTTGTTTACAGTACAACATTTTTGCATTTCATAGGAAATGGTCAAGACCTTAAGAGCCAGCGGTTTAAAAGATTCAAGTAAAATATTGTTAATGTTGGTTCGACCTGGTTTTCGCAACTTAGTCGGAGCGTCAGGGAGACCTTGTGGATCGTACCTAGTTCAGTGTCCTCTGCCATAGTATTTGTGATTTCCAGGATTGGACAATTGGCTGGGTACATTCCCTTTGATAAATTTTCTGTTAAACCGTCGTGGCATCATTCAACTCCCATATTTATCTGTTTTACGTCATATGTGCTTTCCTCAAGATTTCCCTGAGGCTTCGACCAAGTTACGCAAACAAGGTCGAATCAACATAATACAGAACTAGAGGGTAGACCAAAACAATAGGGTCGAGGAATGATGCCAAATCGGTTGAACAGAAAATTGGTCAAGGGGATTGACTTTACTTGTCACTTTGATAAGTTGTAACTCTGGGCTTACGATGTCTCCTCTAACTCACGATGCGATTACGATAACAGCGAAACGTTTGGGAATGTACCCAGCCAGTGGTCAAATGCTAGAAATCACGAATACTATGGAAGAAGACACGAGACTAAGTACCTTTCACAAGGTCCCCTCACGCTCCTACCTAGTTGCAAAATCAAGGTTGAACCAACACTATAAAGCTAAAGGGGACGGCAACCAAACAGAAGGTCACACCAACTTGCCTTTTATATCTACGATAAAATATCGTTAGTGCGACCACTTTATAATTTTTAAATTGTTTTAACATTGATGTATTTAATAACTAAAATATAAAAAATCCTAAATGATATACACTGTCTCGCAGCATAAAATGCTAATTTGTTTCGGTAATCGCTTAATAGTAGCTTAATAAATTTCAGAGCTCCCCTTAATCTCATGTATTCCGCTTTTTTTCAGATGGTGACTAGTGAGACACGTCCGCCACCATTGCTGACTGAAGCTGATCTCATCGCTTTAATGGATAAACACGGAATCGGGACAGATGCAACACATGCTGAACATATTGAGACTATCAAGCAACGCCTCTATGCTGGTCTGCAAGGTGATAAATTCATCATTCCAGGTCAACTGGGAATGGGTCTAGTTGAGGGTAAGCAGACATACTAGCTAAGTTGTCACTGATTATGCTGGCTCGTGTTCATCCAGTAAAATGAACCAATGAATAACCGCCGGTTTGAGGGAGTCTATTACTTGACTGAAAGATTTTATGATATTTTTCCTTTAAAATATCTACTAAATAAGAGAGCATAATTAAGATAATTATCCTGCTATTCGTTTATATATTTGTACTTAAAGTAAGATGAGCTTTCTATTATTCTTGTGCATTCAGGGTTATTTAGATTGCAGTTTTAACTACTCATCATCTCATGCATTTATGTGCATATTCAAAATGACTTTATCTAAATGAGGACCACAACTCACCTTTCATGTCTGACAGTATGTTGAAAATGAATGGTTTATTTATAGGTTTGGGGCACCATATTAAGATTGCTAGCACAATAATTATGTTGATACTCTAGTCCATAGAAAAACTGGCGAATGATAAGATATCCAAGTTGCAAAAATTATATTTTTTAATGAATGAGCAAGGTATTAAATTTGTCAGTTGCTCCTCTTTTTTTCAGCGGTTATCTCAAGTAAGGTGATTGGATTTGGTTCACTATACTAGTACGAGATAAATTATTGTTCAAATTATCGTTAATATTATTATCGTTACTATTATTAATTGTTAATTCCTTGAATAGGTTTCATGATAGAGAGCGACGATATATTGACTCGTGACTAACCCTTGAACAGTGGGGAATTCCTCTATACATGACCTCGTGTATTGAATTGAAAAATAATCTATTGGTGAAGATTAAATGAATTTGACAGATGAATTTATGTATAGGAATCTTGTTTGGATCATTATTATATTTACAAAAATTTGGAGATCTCTTTGAAAGTATGTTATTTACCGACGGCACGCAAAAAGGAATAGCTCTGACGCATAATCAGTAAAGTTGTAGATCATCACAAACTTATGTTATTCCTATATATTAATTTTAAGCGACTTGTTGTTTACTCAACGCATAGGAGAAATTGTACTATTTTCTTACAAAAGGCCTGACTGCTTGATAATTTTTATGCATCTTCACTTCACTCCAGAATCTTCCCAGAGATAAATCATCGGCGCACTTAAGCTATTGGAAGGTAGTCACTATTTTAAGAGCTCAGTTTATTTAAGGAAAATTGCGGAATTGAACGAGCTGTTTTGCCATAAATAATCGCTTTTATTAGTATTTATTTGCAATGATTGCTTGCCAATACCTATGTGAATAGTGAGGTAGGGATTTAATATGCCACTACCGCGAAAACTGGATCGCGTTCCTAAATTGGCTTTGGATTTAATGCTTGCATTGGATATAAACTCAATTCTGAGGTAAAAACATTCAAGAATGGTGCCTAAATTCTATCTGAATTAGTAACCAGTCCTGCTAAAGGAATGACTTTAAGGTGACTAAAGTTGAACGTTGGAAAATTTTCGTAGATTGGTTGCAGTCTCCTTGGATTTATAGTATTGGTCTGCTAAGCCTTCTTCCCTTACATGAAATCGTTTGTGTCAGAGAAGATAAATTATTTACGATATTAAGGAGAAAACTGCACTAAAAAGATTGTCTGCCAAATCCCAACTTTTTTTTAGGTCTTTAAATTTTCAAAACTTCAATGCTTTGGTTTGCTACTTTATGCTTACCTTAGATGCTTTCAGATAAATTAGGACATGGAAAGAATAGGTATTGCGTCGGAAGTCTAGTTTAGGCCATATCGCGTCAATGGACTCATAATCATTGCTCATATGCCATCAAGAACTTTGAAGTGTAAACATTATAGGATCAGATGCCAGTATATTTATATGAGGAAGCAGTTGTGATTACACTCATATCCTTTTCATACATCAACTTCACTCATCTTCAGGCATATAACGTGAACATGAAGTGCCTCCAAAGTGAGGGATATCACATTATGACCACAAAATTTAAATAAGAAATAGATATGACTCTAACGGGACACTTTTGTATATAAAATTTTCTATCTGACGATGTTTGACAATAGACAGATGATATCCCATTACTAAATCTATGTTGCAGAACGATGATTCCAGGACCTCTTCGCATAATCCACTAGTCATAACCTTAAGGCAATCATCCGGTTTCCGATAATGCCAGTTTACCAATCTTATTTATATGCCCACTCAGAAGAAATGAATTTTAATCCAACATTAAATAAAAATATGAGCAGTAGGAGCTAATTGAAGTGACGAGGATTGGGAAGGGAAAATATGTGGTGCGATGATGCATATGCTTCACTAATCCTCGCTATTAAACTCCGTTCCCTCAATAATAGAATGAAAATTTTATATTCATAGTCGTAATAATATTATTATCTTTTTTCAACATGAGGAAATAAATAAACTTGTTTATTTTACAGCATTCTCTAACCTACGCAGAGACTGCAAACAATTAAGAGAGAATTAAAACTGTCATATCATTTTTATTGTGCTATGGCTAAAGTAAGGTAATATGAGAGGTATTCACCCTATTTCGTTTAAGATGGTGAAGGACTGATGGTAGAATTTTCCCACAATGATATGAGTAGAGCTAACGCTTCCATTAATTTTCACATTGTTAGGGGGACCTTCATTTCGTATGAAAGTGCATGAAGAAGAGATTCGTTGAGCGTGAAAATAGATTAAGAAAAAAGCTGGCCGGCTTCAACTCTAGTCATTCTTTCTGCACCTTTCCTTGCGATT